CGGTGTTCTCTCGTATTCACGGTAGGGAGAAAGACAATGATCGGCTTTATGCATTTCTCAACATATTATCAGGGCAGACGCCTCCCTTCATTTCCGTGCCGGATTTGAATTCGTTTGTAGCCCAGATTTTACAACCGGCACTGAACAGAGACCTCTACTACTGAACCAGTAATAGCTGGCGCAAGAACAAGGGCGCGGGGGGGCTGCAGCAACAGACGCTCGTTGTACAACACCACAACCTGCAGCACCCCTAGCATGAGCGACGACCTATAGCGAAAGCCGCGGAAGATTCCTGCGGGACTATGCAGTGGGCATCGGGGTGGGCGTGGTCGCGGCCGTGTCGTACAAGTCGGAGCCGGCGGATGCTCATTTCAGTAAGGAGACATGTCTCTGTTTGAGGCTGCCGTCGGCAGTTGTGTCAATGTATCAGCTTATGTCCATCGTCTCGAGGTGCCCACCATGAACAACACCCAGAACGGCGAAGAAAGTTGCCAGATAACGCCCCAACGGCTGGCTTTCGTGACGTCCACACCACACAAGCAGTTCTAGTCTACAGTACTGGTCCAGCATGCACAACAGTAGCATCACGCGAATATCGAGCCACAGGCTCGTTCTCCACGTAGACTACCTTCAAGGCGCGCGTTAACAAAGGGTTCAACATTTCTGATGGTAGACTAGATCGCCCGGAGCACGGCGGCGGCGCGCCAACTTTTACAGCAGATCCGGCACATTGTGAAATTTCGGCTGCTGTATCCATCCATCTACATTCAGATCAAAGAAAGCATCTCAAGCCGTTGTCGATGCTTGCTGCTGCTGTAAAGGCATAGGACGCCACTTTGTCATCGGTAGGCTGTGGAAATTTTGAATGTTCTGGCATGATGAAGTTTACCTGAAGCCTAAATCTGCCTTTTCATCACCGAATTCTCTGCGAGAACCTCTTTTTGGTAACACAATGTTTGGGAAATCCGTTGATCTTGGTCCCAACAGGTGTCAGTTTCACGATTTATGGTGAACAATCTTCCGAAAACCCATGGCCAAGATTTGTCCAGGGCCAAAAAATTGCCCTTTCGAACAACTCTTGTCCCCAGATTTGTCTACTCGAGCTCGCTGGACAAATCTTAGGGCGGGCTGACAAATCTATATAGGTGCGGCGAGGTTCCCACAGGTCAGTCAACCTTATTGTACGTTACAAAAGATGCACGTGGCGCATTCGCAAGGGCCTGCGACGCACCGTGGCCTTACTGTGTCGACGCCACGGGCGCCGACAGCAGAGAAAATCGATCAACGATCTGTTGTGCCGTTTCTTGTCTTCTCGTGTTTTCAACAGGTCGAAGAAAAAGCTGCACGGTCGGGTATATGGCCGATGAAGCCCTCGTGATCGGCTTTCCAGGTGACAACATCTGCGTCGCAGGCGGTTCCGCCCGCAAACTGCTGTAGGAAGGCACAATTCCTGGGCAGCAGCCATCGGAAGTCGTAGGCATCGGTTCTTGTCGGTCTCGACTACTGTACGATTTGCATTTGATGTGCCTTTGTTGCGGTTGTGGTGACCACGCGTGATGTATGGCTCCTGTGGCATGCTCCTAAGCACATCCCAAGCCCCGAAACTGGGCCAAGACACTCGCATCTGTAGAAACTGACGGAACTAGGTCCTCAACCCTGGCTGTACGTTAGACTGTACCACCATGTGATTGGTGTATGCATACGTTGTCGACAAGTGCCCGGGAGATACGAAACCCGGCAAAGGCGCGTAACGAAGGAGAACACGTTGTTCGAATCGAGTTAACAGAAGGTCATGAGACCCATCCTTTGTGAGAGTTTCGTGGATCCCCACCGAAAGGTCAGAAAGAGTAAGTTGCCTGCAGAGTATTTTTCTCGAGGACGTGGCATTAACGGGCTACAGGCCACCGATGCAACGGGCACGGTCGTTGTTTCGGGGGGGTTCACTTCCGTTCGAGGAACAGCCGGGGAGGAACTGCGTGCGTGCTCAAAAATTTAAGTTGATGTTTGGGGAATAATGGATTGGAGGCCGTGGAGGGCTCCTGTCCCTCCGCATGTGGCGGAGGGGAGCTTTGACAGTGTAGTGTCAGGGTTACATGTCTGGAATGGATTCCAGAGCGGCGGAAACAGTGAAACGAGGTCAAATCAACAGTGAAAGAATGCATGAACATCAAATCCTCTAGACTAATGTCCGGGCGTGTTAAGCACAACGGGGCGGAAAGCTGCGTGCAATAGTCGAGCGATTGAGCCGTCAGCAGTAGGAACTCTAGTACGTTGCCCCGCCTTTCTCTATCGAAATCGAGCGCGCGTGGACAAGGAAGAGGGGGAGAGAGAGAGAGAGAGAGAGAGAGAGAGAGAGAGAGAGAGAGAGAGCAGTTTGTCGGTGTGGTAATCAGGACTTTCGCAATTTGTCCACGTCAAAACTCTTTGCCACATTTCCGAACCCGGGAACCGAACCTCGAACAAGCCTAGGGCGATGTTGCGAATGAATGGAAACCAACAACCCTCTCGCATCATTCTTCATCCAAGGGCGTTCTCAATGTGTTGAATGGCGCGTACGGTTTCAACCAATGTCGAGAGAAAGCACTCGTCTTGGGTCTCGCCGCGAGCGTGATCTCATTCGATCCGCTCGAAACGCGCGTGGCCATGTCCACCATTGTGCGTACATAGTCCGTGTCTTCCACGAAAAGAAAGAGTTGGCACGTAGGAAGCACTCTAAGAAGTTCCAATGGGACGGACCCTGCTGTAGTGCCCCTACAGTCTATCCCCCCATGTGCATGGGTCACCTTTGTCGATCTCCAGTTGCTGTACCAAGGTGCCCTACATTATTACAAACATGTACGCATACATTCCCGACATTCGTAAATTTCCTGATTTCCCCAGCCGGCCGGCCTTATAACCCCGACCACAACGACTGGCGGTTTAGAGACTAGGCTTGTAGGGCGACACACCACTAGAAGAGCGATTGTGCTGACGTCCTGCAGCATGCAGTCCCGAATCACGTGAGAGATCGTCAATGCCATTATTTGCAGGGAGGGGCAATCTGCATCTTTTCGTAACCGCCACCACTCCCGCTGCGGTTCTCCTTGCTCTCCATGAATGTAGTAAGCACCCTTGAGCACAACGGCCAAGTTTTGTGCCTGTTAAACCTTCGACGAGGGAGGATAGGATCGCGCCGTGTTTCTACAGAATAGTCTACGGCAGTGGGTGGAGTAGGCCATAGACTACTGCTGTGGTCGCCATCATATTTTCGTTGTGAAACAATGATAACGGTGGGTGGTTGTTGAAGTTGGCGGGTGTTGCTGTGTAGGCGGACGACAAACACACCGATCCACTGCAATGACGTTCAGTACCGAGGGCTCTACGAGTTCACGCTGCTCCCATCGGAGGCCGAAGTTCGAAGATCTCTACCAGAGGTTTCCGCTCTGTTCATCGTCTGGGTGCGTGTGGAATGAGTTGTTGTTGTTTTTCTTCACATTACAAACTCGTGTCAGTTGCTAATCCCAAAATCTAGCGAAGACTCGGTCCGTGGTCACAAAAATGCTAGAGCCATCAGAAGATCTAAAGAACACACACTATTAGCAAGAAAAGGGTACACAAGCCCGACCGAGGAGGTACACCTACAATCCCTGCAGCACGTTTGCGTGCTCACAAATGAATTACACGCCCACACACTACAATTCGACTAGTCTACAGCAGCAGCATCACCCCCCTTGTCCCGCATTTGACCAACATGAATGTTTGTCGACTACAGCGCACTGCTGTCTGAAGTGCTGTCGTTACAACAATAACAACACCATGGTGCATGGTACACAAGCTCGGGGCATGCAGCTGCTGTCTGAAGTGCTGTCAGAATGAGTCCGTGGACATACAATGAAGAAGAACACCCAACCAACCAAAGCCATCATTCCAATTGACAATCACCCGAATCTATCCAGATCATCTGTGTTAGGCACAGCAGTGTAAACATCGACACTGACTAGGAATCGTTCCACATTGAAGGGGTATTCCACGATGCAGGTACACATTTAAGGCAACCGGGTTATCCGCGCCATCTCTGCCGCGTCTCTCTACAAAACCAGTGACGTCATCACACACACGCAACACCTATATTCAGGAAAAATACGGGAAAATAATTGACAACACAAGAGATGTTTGTCCGTGCGCCACGGTTCGATGCCGCCGCATGCTCCCCCGGTGGTCTAGTTGGTATCCTCGAAGCCTTCTACAGGTCAGGTCAGGGGTTCGAATCCCGGCGAAAGCGAGCTTTTCTTGCAAAGTGAGTTTTTCTCTCGCTTCCGCTCCTCGCCTAGTTCTTGTTGTTGTTTCTCACATTAGCTCTGAAAAAGAAAGATTGGGAGCCCGTGGTCTCAAAACCCGGCATGCACGACCCCACGAAGAAACAGAAAAAAATA